CACCTCTGAATACATGAGGCTTTTGGGAGACATTCCAAGTCTAAACCCCAATACTAAAAATAAAGGAAATGAAGATTAAAAGCAGTAAGGTAACAATTTCATCCCTATAAGCATAGCAAAAACTAAAATGCTAATAAGTTCTGGAAGGAAAGTGGAGCAAATGAAGTACATTTCTTATTAATGGGAATGTAATATAATATAACTACCATGGAAAACTTCTGATAATATTTTACAAAATTAAATGTTCTCACCATGGAACCTGACTATTCCAATAGAAAGAATATAGAAGAAATGAAAATAGCTATCCACATATCACATTTGCATGAATGTTTACAGTGGCCTTAGTCACAGGTATTTATTTGTAATAACTAAAATCTGGAAACAATTTATTAACGGATAAATATAGCTACATTATTGACAATAGAGTACTACTCAAAATCATTCTGAGTGCAAGCAGACTGCAAAAAAAAAAATAATACTACACAAAATATTAAACTAATAAAAAATAAATATACTATGATAACAAAAAGCAGATCAGTGGTTGCCTGCTTGGGGGGGCGGGCAGGGATGGCCTGCAAAGATACATGACAAATATTTTGGAAATGATGAAAAATTTTGTATCTTGTTTATGGTGTCGATTCACAGGTATTAATGGTCAAAGCTCATCAAACTGCACATTTTTACACTGCATGCAGTTAATTGTTAATAAATTATACTCAGTGAAATTGAAAGCAGATAATAATTATGTGGTACTACACCATCATTTTAACACATTAGAACATGCAAGTCTACAAAGAAGCACAAAGCAAAATAAGAAACAAAAACCCTGGAATTGCCAGGTATCATGGTACCTGTGTAAAACCCCTGCTACTTAGGAGGCTGAGGCAAGAGCTACAAAACTATAAGACCACCAGGAGCCGGCCTATAATCCCAGCACTGGAAAGCTGAGGCAGGAGTAGTGCCATAAATTCAAAGCCAGCCTGAGCTACAAGAGTGAGTTCAAAGCCAGTCTGAGCTACATAGTGAGACCCTGTGTCAAAAACAAACAAACTGTAAGGCCAACCTAGACAACTTAGTGATACTCTGTCCCCAGATAAAATGAATATCTGTGATTGTAACTCTGTGCTCCCTGGGTTCAATCCCCAGCACTCTCAATACAAGGGGGGCGGGGACAAAGACATAGCAAGAAAATGTAAAAAAGGAAAGAAAGAAGGATAAAAGGGAGGAAGGAAGGGAGGGAGGGAGGGAGGGATGGAACGGTAGGAAGGAAGAAAAAAGGAAAAATAAAAAGAGGAGTATCAAAACCACCTGGCACTGAAAATAATGATTCTTTAAAAAAAATCTTTTCCATTTAAATCAAAATTGTCAACAGATTTAAAAATGTTATTTCCCACTACCACCTAACACACAGTCTCTGTATCATCAAGCCACACTCTTTCTTTCCTTAGCTACCTTGATTTTGTTCATATTACACATGTTCTCCTCTCAATTTGTTCCTCTGCTTTTCCCCATCTATTTCAGCCTGTCAACTGAGGCCCGATTTAAGACTCTTCTCCCCAATGAAGACATCAACAAGGCCAACCCACCATAATTTCTTCAGACTTATTACTAAGTTCTTATCAATTGCATGATGTTGATTTTAAATGTTCCCAAATGGCTTCATTTCAGCCTTACCTCCTCCTTTAGAGTGCTAGTAACTTGTAGGCACTGTTTTCCACATACATACCTGTCTGGAGCAATTCTACATGATTTTGAGAAAAAAAATCATTTCATAATTAAATCATGATTAGGGCCTAGTTTTCCAGTCTACAGGCCAGCTATGGCACGTGGAGATATAACTCAATCTTCACCTCACGTCACAGCTAAGACCTCAATGGTCCCTTGACGCTGTGATGCTCCAGGACAGGACTACACCAGCTGGAGACATCCTGGGAGGGACCAGACCTTCACCTGCATAGTTCCTCATTGTTCTAGAATTATCCCTGTGTCCCCTGAATCAACTGCTACTTTTGTTTCTTCTGATATTCTGAATAAAGGTGTGGCAAGCTGCAGGTCTGGGGTCTTTGCTGCCCAGAGCACCATGGGTCAGTCCAAAGCTCACCTTTGCTGAGTCTCATTTTCTGTCTACATATTAATTAATTCACTTTGTGATGTCATGGCTCACAGGAGACTAGGACCTGATGCAGAGGTTCTAGTACCATCCCCTTCCCCTGTTCCCTACACATACCCTGTTCCCTGCACATGCACATACACATTCAATGCTCCTAAAAAGCACTTTTATTAACTGTATCAGCATGTTTAGAGGAAAACACATCTATAAATTACTATAATATATAAATTCACACTATCATAAACTAGGAAAGAAAGAAGGGACTGACATCAGTGAGAACAAATCCCTTCTTTTTCATACTTGCTTTTAATCTCTTTCGCTGTCTTTTGCAAATCTACTGAAACTACCAACCTGGTCCTGATATTTATCTCTTCAATGTTGCCTCCTATCCTCTAGTGGAAGGTACTGACAAATAAGAAAAATTTAAACCAAAGAAGAAAAACAAAGTAGATTTCCTTACAGCAATTCATACTGGCAAAACCAATAATATTTAGAAAAGGTGAAACCATTATCATCAGAATAGGAAACAATCTGAACACAAGTAAAGAACTCTCAAAGACTACAGGGAGAAAAAAAGGAGGAAACAGCACAGGGTATGAGGTTTGGAACAGAAGGGAAACACATACAAGGTTAGGAAGTTGGCTCTAAGGGAGATGATTTAATTTATTTTTAATTTTTCCCTATGATATTTTCTAATTAAATATTGTCTACTAATCACCATATGGCTTGAAGTTATAAGTAAAACCTAAAGTACGTAGGTAAATTAAAAACCCCATTGCCTACATTGAAGTTATTATCTGTCTTGCTATTTGTTAATATACTTTGTATGTGGTGAGTTATTTGAAAGTAATGCTACCAAAGTAATATCAGTAGGAAAGATATTAAAATGACTGCCCCAAGTGGTGCTTCTCACAAGTCATTTCTTGATGAATTTGCCCTTTGTGTATCTTAAACCTAAAAAAAATCTGATAATTTTATTGATACAAGCATAGAGTTAGGAGATATTGATGCAGAAAATTTGGTTCCATGTTACAATTTTCCTTGGCAATCTGGGAGGAGGGAAAGCGTACTTGGAGTCTCAGAGACAAATTGAAAAGCAAGCCTTCAGCTCCAGTGACTCAGCTGTATTCATGATCCCAGAGACTGACCCCCACTTGAGGAGGAACAGGGCAAGATAAACTCCCTCAGGATGGGGTGGACTTACATACATTTTACATCCTTTCATTATCACACACAGTATAGATCATAGTAGCTCGACAAATTCGCTAATTATAAGACATGACAGACACCGAGTCTGTGCACAGATTCATACCTCATTTACATTTGGAGGGAAGTAGAAGTAATAATGGTTAGAGAACAAAGAAAATTCTTGAGATACTTGAGAGGGGTGTCTGGATAAGCTGGCCCAGAAGTATGAGGGAGTGGGGGAAATTCCTCCTCAGTAAAAGGAACACATTCCTGATCAGTTTAATGTGTGCAGTATCTCCTAGTTGTGTTCAGAAGCTGTTCTAAAATGTAAACCTTTTAATTTTTAATATTCAAGTTATTTATTTTGTTTTAATCTTTTTTTTTTTCCTTTGTTCCCACAAGTGAGGTACAATTCGACATACATAAACAGTCCTTGCCTACTTGGCTTCTCCTACCCAGTGCAGCCTTGCACAGGTTTCTAGAAGCACTTCCTACAGGATCCCAACTATCAAAATATTCAGATCACTTTTTTCAAGGAATAGTCCACTAAGCTTATAACCATTGGCCTAACTTCCTCCAGTGGTCTGATGACTACAGGTGTTCTTTAGTGAGAAGCATAAGGTTAAATATTGATGAAAATTGCCCATTCACATGTTTTGTGCTGCTCACTGACAGATATGATACCTGAGTGTGACCCTGCCACGTGATAGTCACGTCTGACCTGGACAAATCATTTCACTTCTCTAAGCCTTGGTTTCTCTGTTTGTAAAATGGAGAACTGTCTTCCATGCCTACTGCGAGGGGTTGCTGTACACATCAAAGAAAAAAAGTGTGTGAAAAATCTCAAGAGAAAGATACAGTTAGTAGAGGACAGTTATTTTACATGTGCTCACCAGCAAGATTAATAGGTGAACTTTTGTGGGAAGTTAGGCAAAAATAATCTTGAACTCATTTAGATGAGGGGAAAATACCTTTGCTTCTTTAAATTATCAAATTTTAAAAATTAAAGCCAACCACACTGTACCTTTGCAGCTGCCCACTACTAAAAGTGAAACCTGAAAATCCCCTCCCACATCAACTCCCACCAACCCTCTATAATGAAATCAGGACACCTCCACAGAAGCCCCAAATTCTCTTCAACTCCTACAGAAAACTAGATGTTGAAAAGTGTGTACTCTGATTCAGAAAGTGTGTCCAACAGCCTACACATCGTCAAGCTAAATACAGACATGTATCATAGACACCAGCATAACTGTATGCATTTTAAAAGCACCTAGTCACTGAAAGTAACGGAAGGTAATACTCTCCTAATTTATTCTATTGACTTCACAGACCAGGATAGAAAGGATAGCAAAGTTATTTAAATTTTATCCAAAAGAGGAGAAAAACATAAAGAGAACTCAGGAAAAATTCATTGCTAACTATTGGGTGTTTACTTTATCTTGCCTTGCCCAAAAACTGGGAAAGGGGAGGAGGAAGTGACAGGCAAACTGAAGATGTCTGTACTGTAGTAGGGTGCAAAACAAAATCAATAACACAAAGCAGAAAGTAAGGATAATAAAGCCAACAAACCTGGGAGCGACCCCTATATTTACATTTGCAACTAGCTCACGTGGCACCATTAAAAAAAGGCAAAGAAATTTGAGAAGAGCTAAGATCAAGTCTCTCACCAGTGTTTCCCCCAAAGAGAACTCAGACTCACCCGCCACTGAGAAGACGGTGAGCAGCAGGAGTAGCCCGAGGTCAGAAGTTCTCCAGGGGCAGAGCATTTCTGTTTTCTCCTCTTCTGCCCTTCACTCAGTGTGTTTCCCCCCTCACAAGTCCAGCAACAGCTGTGAGCATGGCCAGGCTTTCTCCCTGAGACTTCTTGGTGCTGGATTTTCTTGCTCGTGGCCAGCAGGGCGCCCCTTTCCTCCTAGTCTTTTCCTTCAACGCGACATGTTGTAGTCTGATTAGTAATTTGGAAAAGAAGAAACTCTTCACTGAAACTTGACACAGCAATATATTTCCTGTATGAAGCACTGAAGCAAAGCCGGAGGAAGCAGATTGATTGAGTTATCCTTCAGCTCATTGGTTCTTCTCTCACTTCTGCTGCTCACAGATAAACTGTACAGTAAGGCGATGAATGTGCCCAAGATAAACAGATTTGTAAAGGCTTGCATTAAAAAGTAAAACCGGGAGGACATTTATTGCCTGCAAATTTCCTAATCATGGTAACTTTTAGGTCAAAGAGGCATTCGGCCTTAGTATTCAACTGTGCCATGGAACCTTCCCCCTTGACATTCTTTGGGTGAGATTGGTGAGTAAAACAGGAGTCCACACAACACTCTGGAAGCACGGAAGTGCATCAATTTTTAATCACTACTCTAACAACCACACACTGAGGAACACAAACTGAGTACCTCACTGTCTGTAAATCAAAAGTCAGAAACAGATCTCACCAAGTTAAAAATCAAGGAATGGGCAGGACTGCATTTTTTCTTCCTTGCTAGTCCAGTACCTGGGGAACGAACATTCGTTGGCTCCTGGACACATTACTCTGCCTTTGACTGTACTGGCTCATCTCCTGATTGTGACCCTCCTGTCTCCCACTTACTAGGACCCTTTGTGATTATATTGGACCCACTGAGATACTCCAGGATATCTCTTCATCTCAAGATCCTTCATTTAATCTCACCTGCCAAGTCCATTTTGCCGCATAAAGTCACATACTCACAGATTCCACGAATTCAGACATTGCCACTTATCCGGAGGGGTCACTATTCTATATCTCAATTCATTACTCATAGGCGTTTACTTTCACCTGTGAACACACTGATCATTCAACAAAGTGTCAAAAGAATATTCATCTTGTAGTTGCCACACATCTGGAACTCCTACCTTCCAGAAAACCTCTGCCTAATGTTGCTAGCTAATGCTGGATTACATTTGAGAGGGGAAAAAGTCTATGTGCTGAGTTCCCGTCCCCAAGACAAACTCTCCTGAAACAGGAAGAAAACTTTACAAACAACAAAATTTAGTGTGTCATTTTCCCCTAAATTAGTGGTTCCATCTTCCTATTTGCCAGATCTTAAACTATAAAAATTTTCCTCCTTTCCCTTCTAGAATCTTCTTTCTAGTGAGTGGATTGTCATGGATGACTTCAGAATATGAGTTCTGACAAGGAGTAGGCTATAGAAATCTTCTCTTCTGTGCAGTGTTTAATCAGGTGTCAAAAAATCAGTGAGGAAATATCATTTAAAATATAACACTCTGGTTCCCCGCTACCCATAGAGGCATCAAGAGGGTGGTTTTGCAAACAGACAAAACTAAGCTCCAGTCTTTGTTATCCAATTACAAATCTAATGATACTGGGAGATTTCTTAATCAACTCTTTTTTCCTCCTTAATTTATATTGACATGAGCTGTTCCACGTAGCATCAAAAATTTTCATGACCATTCAGTTTTAGTGCCTGCTCAGTGACACAACGCAAACTAAAACATGAAACACCTAATTGGCCTGCTTAAAGTCTCAGAGTGACTCGGTAACACAGCTGAAAGCCAAATATTTCATGTTTGCTAACCATAAATTTTTTGATTCTAACAAATTGATCACTACAGAGGTACTATAACAGATGAGGTAGTATAAAAAGTAAAATGATTGTTTTCCTGGCCATACCCCATTTTCTGTTTTCCAATTCACCTCTCTGCAATCTACTTTGACACAAGCTCTCAAGTCCTATGTGAAATAACAAAACTTCCCCCATGTATAGTCAGTAAATGTACTAATAATTTAAAAGAGTCTCACAAAATGTACATTTCTGTCTCATGTTCTGTTTTTGTACTGCTATCTTAACATTTTTCACTTCTGAAATACATTTGGTCTATTGGGACCCCTGAAACATTACCAAAAACCTCTGCAGTAGGTGCCAGTCTTCTGCTCAGTGTAGAACACAAGCCTGAGGAAAAAAACCTAAAAGATAGAACTACAAGAGACAGAAAGGAGGGAGCCGGGATGGTCAGTGGTAGTTTAGCAAAAGGCACTTGTCCATCCAAGCCACCATTTTTTTATTAGTAATCAATTGGGGGTAAAGGCAAACTATAGGCAAGGGCAGGGCTATGTTCCTATGGAAATTAATGCAAGTGAGGCTCATAAAAGACTAGACAATGCATTTTCAAACTAGGAAAGGAATAGATAAAATATATGGTTGTGATTAGAACATTAGCCTTCTAGGAAGAAGATTTAGTTGTGAGAATGGAATTTGGGTGTGAGTCACTCTACCTCAGTACATATGCTTTGGCCAGACTCACTTCTATAAACAAGTCAATCGTGGGGTAAACTCTTTACAGCCTGCACTGCTTATTACAGCCTGCTTTGGGCATAATCAATATTGTGATCTCTTGAACTGATCTATGCCACCTAATGAAATTATCTTTAGAAAGTTAGGAGAAATATATGTCGCAGGATAGTTAATGATTTTTTCATTATAATTGAATGCATGCTACAAAAAAGAACAACGTAGGAATAGAAGTTTGAAAATGTGTGCAATATTAAATAAATATCCATTCCTGGAAACAAAGGAGATGTCAACCTCCAATAGCAGGGTGATCGGCTGGAATGATGTCATCTGCAATGTGGAATGGGGATATCATTTCCAAGTGGGTCCCCACTCTGACTGATACGGGTTTTGATTTTGTGGCTCCCTGGTGTTGTAGCAAGGCTGAGCAGCTTTTGGAATTTGAATGCAATATGGGGCCTGGGAGTTTCATTTGCAAATGCCTTTTCTAGTCAATGGGGTCTGCAGATGTGCAGTTAACAGTGGTGATGTCAACGTCTATGACACTTTAGTAATGTATCGAAGCACCAGAACTGACTGATATAATGAAAGCCTTTAGGAGGTGTGCCAAATATAAGGTGCGTGACAGTCTAAGTTGTCAGTGGTGATATGGGTTTTGCTGCATATAGTATATTTTCCTTTTTGGTGGCAGGGCATAATGAAAATTGAAGCCACGCTTAATATATGCTCTCTGTCACTGATCTATATCCCCAGATGCTTTGAAAATAGTATGTTTAAGTCCTGTGTATTTGTCTGTTATAGATTGTTAACAAAGTGCCAGGCTGTTTGCTAGTTAAAATGTCTGTTATTGAATTTGAAACTCCAGCTGCAGGTAGGCCCTCCCACTTAGCCAACTGCTGTAGACTCTTTGCTTCAGTTGTGAGTGTGGTTGGTGATAGATAAGCTAATGATGGTCCGTGGGCTCTAAGGTCTGCATTAGCTGAACTCAACGGTGTTGCAGGCCTCACCTGTCCTGTTTGGTTTCATAGGGCCTGTGTGGAGGATTTGAGTTTCTGAAACATAAATCTGCAAAACAAACCCAATAATGTCAAGAACAACTTAGAACAGCATGGTGTGTGGCCACACTTGAAAGGTTTTTATTATCTAGTGCTAATTTTATTCAGTGTTTTTTAGTACCAAGGAGGGTTTTCTGGTTTTATGATTATGAGATATGGTGTTGATTTTATTATTATCCCCAAATAAAATTTTTGTTTACTTTGTGGATTTTTCTATCTTCCACCTTAGTATTCCAAACTCTCTGGTGGAAATGACACTAGGGAACTAATTTCAATTTCCCAGAGGGTAACAGTAGGAAATTGAAATAAATTGTTCTCTTTTGATTGAATATTGAAGGAATTTTCTCAGTGGTGGAAGAGCAGACTTTTATGGGCCCTTATCAGACCTTATTAAAGGACCTCATATGTTATTTTTTTTCTCATTGAGTTTATTGGTACATTTTAGGTAAGCAGTACATTTACATTCATCATTGGGATCTTGTACCTTTACATGACAGGTCTTGGTTCTCATTTTTTCCCCTTGTCCCTGCACTCCCTTCACAGCCTCCTCCCCTCCCTATTTACAAACACTTCATTTCCATTTTTTCATTTGCTCATATTTTTAAATGACCTCATATATAATGAGTGTTTATACACAGAGGTAGGACATTTGGGTAAAATACAGGCAAATATGGGTAAGAGCTATGAGAAAGTTTTATTTTTAATTGGCATGAGGTATAAGTTAACCAAGGGTCCTTAATTAGGCTAAGATCATAGCCAAGTTAGGGACCCAGTTAAGGGATCATTTGCCTGATTGGACTTTTAGAAGGACTTGTTTGAGGAAACAATTATTTATTAATTGAATAGGATGTGTGGGTTTTACTAGGAACATGAAAGAATGAATTTTCAAAGAGCTCAGCATTGTATATTTGAAAAGTGAGATGTGTGCCTGCCTTGGTTACTATTAGTTATATTTGGAACTCTGAGGAATAAGGAATGACCAAAGGAGTCCTTACACTGAGGTTTTAGTATGCACAGAAACACTAGAAATATGTCTCTCAGCACAGTTAGCTTCTTCTCTGGATAAAAATGTCCCTCCGAAGTTTGTATATTGAATCTCTCTCTAACCCATGCCCCGCATGTAAAGATATAATAAGAAAAAAGTTATCTGGCAAGTAGAAAGCAACTCCTCACCAGAGAACAGATTTGCCAGGGCCTTAATCTAACTCTTTTAATGACAGCTTCAATGTGGAGAAGGTAGAGTCACAGAGGGGTTGCACTGGGACCACAGAAATAGCAAATGTGAGCTGTGATGGGGCAGCACATCAAGGCAGAGCCAGGTGGGCTACCTGGTGCTGTTGGGCTCCTGTGCATTGGCCACTTTAAGTAATTTCATGGAGTCCAGAGCATCAGGGTCATGCTGAGTTGTGTGGCACAGGCTCCTGGGGCAGTTAGGGAAGGTGTCAGGAGTATGAAAGCCCAAATAAGGGAAGTTGTTTAGTTTTGCCATCAGTCAGGTACTCAAATAGAATATTCTGGCCTCTAGCCAGGGCTTCAAACCCGAGCTGAGATCATTTTTTTTAAAAAGTTCTATTTACAAGACCTCAAAAGGAACTAACCTTCCTGACACCTTGACCTCAGACTCCTGACCTCCATGACAGTAAAACAGTAAGTCTCAGTGGTTTAAGCCATT